TTCAGTGGCATTTTCAAAGCTTGGGAAATTCACGCAATCGAGGCAAGAACTTCCGCGTTGTATAATAATGTATTTTGCATAATGACATATTTAAATCCGGGCAAAAGGCATATAATTCCAGTCCGAAAAAGCTTTCTGTCTTAATCCAAACGACAAACAGAAGGCTGAACAACGTCAACATATTGTAACAGAAAACATATTCACAAGGACAGAATATATCACAACGTCAACACACCAGGACTGAATATATCACAACGTTAACACACCAGGACAGAATATATCACAACGTTAACAAACCAGGACAGAATATATCACAACGTCAACATACCAGGACAGAATATATCACAACGTCAACACACCAGGACTGAATATATCACAACGTTAACATACCAGGACAGAATATATCACAACGTTAACAGCTTGGGAAATTCACGCAATCGAGGCAAGAACTTCCGCGTTGTATAATAATGCATTTTGCATAATGACATATTTAAATTCGGGGAAAAGGCATATAATTCCAGTCCGAAAAAGCTTTCTGTCTTAATCCAAACGACAAACAGAAGGCTGAACAACGTCAACATATTGTAACAGAAAACATACACACAAGGACAGAATATATAACAACGTCAACATACCAGGACAGAATATATCACAACGTTACCAAACCAGGACAGAATAAATCACAAGGTCAACACACTAGGACAGAATATATCACAACGTTAACACACTAGGACAGAATATATCACAACGTCAACATAGAAGGACAGAATATATCAAAACATTAAAACATCAGGACGGAATATATCAGGACGTCAACACACCAGGACAGAATATATCACAACGTTAACACACCACGACAGAATATATCACAACGTCAACACTAACATAGTCAAAATATACCACAACATTAACTTGGTAGACAAAATACACCACAACATTAACTTGGTAGACAAAATACACCACAACATTAACTAAGTAGACAAAATACACCACAACATTAACTTAGTAGACAAAATACACCACAGCATTAACTAAGTAGACAAAATACACCACAACATTAACTAAGTAGACAAAATACACCACAACATTAACTAAGTAGACAAAATACACCACAACATTAACTAAGTAGACAAAATACACAACAGCATTAACTAAGTAGACAAAATACACCACAACATTAACTAAGTAACTAAGTAGACAAAATACACCACAACATTAAGTAGACAAAAAAATTAACACAAAATACACAGCATTAACTATGTAGACAAAATACACCACAACATTAACTAAGTAGACAAAATACACCACAACATTAACTAAGTAGACAAAATACACCACAACATTAACTAAGTAGACAAAATACACCACAGCAAAATACACCACAGCATTAACTAACTATACAAAATACACCACAACATTAACTAAGTAGACAAAATACACCACAACATTAACTAAGTAGACAAAATACACCACAACATTAACTAAGTAGACAAAATACACCACAACATTAACTAAGTAGACAAAAATACACCACAACATTAACTACAGTAGACAAAATAGTAGACAAAATACACCACAACATTAACTAAGTAGACAAAATACACCACAACATTAACTAAGTAGACAAAATACACCACAACATTAACTAAGTAGACAAAATACACCACAACATTAACTAAGTAGACAAAATACACCACAACATTAACTAAGTAGACAAAATACACCACAGCATTAACTAAGTAGACAAAATACACCACAGCATTAACTAAGTAGACAAAATACACCACAACATTAACTAAGTAGACAAAATACACCACAGCATTAACTAAGTAGACAAAATACACCACAGCATTAACTAAGTAGACAAAATACACCACAGCATTAGCTTTGTAGACAAAATACACCACAGCATTAACTAAGTAGACAAAATACACCACAGCATTAACTAAGTAGACAAAATACACTACAGCATTAACTAAGTAGACAAAATACACCACAGCATTAACTAAGTAGACAAAATACACCACAGCATTAACTAAGTAGACAAAATACACCACAGCATTAACTTAGTAGACAAAATACACCACAACATTAACTAAGTAGACAAAATACACCACAACATTAACTTAGTAGACAAAATATACCACAGCATTAACTAAGTAGACAAAATACACCACAGCATTAACTAAGTAGACAAAATACACCACAGCATTAACTAAGTAGACAAAATACACCACAACATTAACTAAGTAGACAAAATACACCACAGCATTAACTAAGTAGACAAAATACACCACAACATTAACTAAGTAGACAAAATACACCACAACATTAACTTAGTAGACAAAATACACCACAACATTAACTAAGTAGACAAAATACACCACAGCATTAACTAAGTAGACAAAATACACCACAACATTAACTAAGTAGACAAAATACACCACAACATTAACTAAGTAGACAAAATACACCACAACATTAACTTAGTAGACAAAATACACCACAACATTAACTAAGTAGACAAAATACACCACAGCATTAACTTAGTAGACAAAATACACCACAGCATTAACTAAGTAGACAAAATACACCACAGCATTAACCTAACTGTAGACAAAATATAGTAGACAAAATACATAGCAATACATTGTAACACAACAGTAGACATTCCCATTGTGTTTCATAGTAATACATTGTAACACAACAGTAGACATTCCCATTGTGTTTCCATAGCAATACATTGTAACACACCAGTAGACATTCCCATTGTGTTTCCATAGCAATACATTGTAACACAACAGTAGACATTCCCATTGTGTTTCCATAGCAATACATTGTAACTCAACAGTAGACATTCCCATTGTGTTTCCATAGCAATACATTGTAACACAACAGTAGACATTCCCATTGTGTTTCCATAGCAATACATTGTAACTCAACAGTAGACATTCCAATTGTGTTTCCATAGCAATACATTGTAACACAACAGTAGACATTCCCATTGTGTTTCCATAGCAATACATTGTAACTCAACAGTAGACATTCCCATTGTGTTTCCATAGCAATACATTGTAACACAACAGTAGACATTCCCATTGTGTTTCCATAGCAATACATTGTAACTCAACAGTAGACATTCCCATTGTGTTTCCATAGCAATACATTGTAACACAACAGTAGACATTCCCATTGTGTTTCCATAGCAATACATTGTAACTCAACAGTAGACATTCCCATTGTGTTTCCATAGCAATACATTGTAACACAACAGTAGACATTCCCATTGTGTTTCCATAGCAATACATTGTAACTCAACAGTAGACATTCCCATTGTGTTTCCATAGCAATACATTGTAACACAACAGTAGACATTCCCATTGTGTTTCCATAGCAATACATTGTAACACAACAGTAGACATTCCCATTTTGTTTCCATAGCAACACATTGTAACACAACAGTAGACATTCCAATTGTGTTTCCATAGCAATACATTGTAACACAACAGTAGACATTCCCATTGTGTTTCCATAGCAATACATTGTAACACAACAGTAGACATTCCCATTGTGTTTCCATAGCAACACATTGTAACACAACAGTAGACATTCCCATTGTGTTTCCATAGCAACACATTGTAATTCAACAGTAGACATTCCCATTGTGTTTCCATAGCAATACATTGTAACTCAACAGTAGACATTCCCATTGTGTTTCCATAGCAATACATTGTAACACAACAGTAGACATTCCCATTGTGTTTCCATAGCAATACATTGTAACTCAACAGTAGACATTCCCATTGTGTTTCCATAGCAATACATTGTAACACAACAGTAGACATTCCCATTGTGTTTCCATAGCAATACATTGTAACACAACAGTAGACATTCCCATTTTGTTTCCATAGCAACACATTGTAACACAACAGTAGACATTCCAATTGTGTTTCCATAGCAATACATTGTAACACAACAGTAGACATTCCCATTGTGTTTCCATAGCAATACATTGTAACACAACAGTAGACATTCCCATTGTGTTTCCATAGCAACACATTGTAACACAACAGTAGACATTCCCATTGTGTTTCCATAGCAACACATTGTAATTCAACAGTAGACATTCCCATTGTGTTTCCATAGCAATACATTGTAACTCAACAGTGGACATTCCCATTGTGTTTCCATAGCAATACATTGTAACACAACAGTAGACATTCCCATTGTGTTTCCATAGCAATACATTGTAACACAACAGTAGACAACACATATGGTTTTATTTCATGAGATGACATCGTTTTGTCATTATTTATAACTCATTAGTAGACATCACATTTTCTCCATATTTATATCTCACCAGTTGATACTTCCGTTGTATTTCTATAGTTATAACTCACCAATAGACACTTCCGTTGTATTTCTATAGTTATAACTCACCAATAGACACTTCCGTTGTATTTCTATAGTTATAACTCACCAATAGACACTTCCGTTGTATTTCTATAGTTATAACTCACCAATAGACACTTCCGTTGTATTTCTATAGTTATAACTCACCAATAGACACTTCCGTTGTATTTCTATAGTTATAACCCACCAATACATACTTCCGTTGTATTTCTATAGTTACATCTAACCAATAGACACTTCCGTTGTATTTCTATAGTTATAACTCACCAATAGACACTTCCGTTGTATTTCTATAGTTACATCTCACCAATAGACACTTCCGTTGTATTTATATAGTTATAACTCACCAATAGACACTTCCGTTGTATTTCTATAGTTATAACTCACCAATAGACACTTCCGTTGTATTTCTATAGTTATAACTCACCAATAGACACTTCCGTTGTATTTCTATAGTTATAACTCACCAATAGACACTTCCGTTGTATTTCTATAGTTATAACTCACCAATAGACACTTCCGTTGTATTTCTATATGTTTATCTCACCAAAAGATAGTTCCGTTGCATTTCCATAATTATAACTTACTTGTAGATTTCCCCATTGTGTTTCCATAGTGATCCCACACTTTTTAACAACCTGATTGTGTTTCCATAGTGATTCTTCACTTGAAGACCTCCCCATTGTGTTTCCATAGAAATTCCCCACCTTTAAGACCTCCCCATTGTGTTTCCATAGACATTCCCCACCTTTAGACATTCCCATTGTGTTTCCATAGAAATTCCCTACCTTTAGACATCACTATTGTGTTTCCATTGTGATTCTTCACTTTAAGACTTCCCCATTGTGTTTCCATAGAAATTCCCCTCCTTTAGACATTCCCATTGTGTTTCCATAGAAATTCCCTACCTTTAGACATCACCATTGTGTTTCCATAGTGATTCGTCACTTTAAGACCTCCCCATTGTGTTTCCATAGTGATTCTCCACCTTTAGACATACCCATTGTGTTTCCATAGTGATTCTTCATTTTAAGACCTCCCCATTGTGTTTCCACAGAAATTCCCCTCCTTTAGACATTCCCACTGTGTTTCCATAGAAATTCCCTGCCTTTAGACATCATCATTGTGTTTCCATAGTGATTCGTCACTTTAAGACCTCCCCATTGTGTTTCCATAGTGATTCCCCACCTTTAGACATACCCATTTTGTTTCCATAGTGATTCCCCACCTTTAAAACATTCCCATAATGTTTCCATTGTGATCATTCACCTTTAGACATCCCCACTGTGTTTCCATAGTAATTCCTCATCCTTGGCCTTCTCCATGTATTTCTAAATTTGTAATTCATCAGTATACTTCCAATTGTGTTCCCATAGTCGTTAAATCACCAACTGACACCTCCGATGTGTTTCTCTACTTTTAATTTACAAAACGACATTCCCAATGTTTTTTCCGTATTTATAACTGCCCAATGAATATTCCTATGGGCTTGTGTTATAGTAAACCGTCTGAAGAACAACTCCATACCATCTGAGCCAAACATATACACTCTAACCCCGACAAGGTCGACTTACTTTTAGTATCTGTATAATGGTGAGCGAAGTCGTTTCTATACTCGTGACACCCATCCAGTGATATAGCTCTAACACTTATGGAAGCCTATAATGATGCCAATAAACGTTAGGTACCAGCAGCCTGCCGTAATTTACTTGTATCTTGTTTCGTGTCCGTTTAAGAACATCCCATCATTACCGCTTCTGTTGAATTCTGTGACATGTTCCCTATGTTCTGCCAGGTCAGACGACATCGAAACTGATTGTAGATCCAAATTTTCTTCACAAATAACTTACAATCGATATTCCTTAATATGAGATCTCCTAATCACCTTCAAATTAACACCACAAAATGCATTGTCTTTGAATGAAACTATTTACTTGTTACTAAGCTTGATATTTGGCACATGCACGTGATATTCGCCATGTTTAATAATAGATTAATGAATTGTAAGATGAAGACCATGTGTTCCGTAATTTCAGCTAATTCCAAAAGTCACATCCTCTTCTCCAAATGACTCGTACATTGCTGAATATTATTTAGTAAAGTGTTGTTCATCCATATTAATCGAAATGAAGAAGGAAGAAAAGAAGCATTGTAAATCTGTGTCAACAAACAACATGACACATTCTGAAAAGTTCTCTTGAAAAGCTGATGCATCCGATTGTCACTTTCCCCGATCTGATGTGAGAAATCAGTCTTTTATCTACCCTACCTCGTTAGATTTTACCTACTGTACCCTGTCTTCCCTTTTTGTGTTAGATCCTCTCATGTCCTCGTTTTATCTAAACAAACAGGAGTAATTTATAAAATGTGAATTTTGGGGAGCAAATCTAATGTTAAGGTTTTCAGCAAGTTTTGTTTTAAAGCAATACTGGATAAAAAATGTAAAAGGACATTTGATTAATTAACAGTTCAAGAATCTATATGAATTATAATCAAGATACCGAATGTTTATGGTCCAAAAGGTGTATTATTTTGTTATTTTAGGAGCAGGTTTTACATTAAAGTCTTTTTTCAATCATTAAAGAATCACAAATACAAATGTCAAGAGGCAGCTCATTGTTAAATAAAAGGATTTGTATAATATATAATAGAGGTTTAAATGTTTGTTAAAATAAAAGGATTTGTATAATATATAATAGAGGTTTAAATGTTTGTTAAAATAAAAGGATTTGTATAATATATAATAGAGGTTTAAATGTTTGTTAAATAAAAGGATAATATATCACATAGATTAACATGTTTGTTAAATAAAAGGATTCGTTTAGTATATCATATATATTTACATGTTTGGTTGTCAATTGGTATTTTTATGAAATTCGTCATCGATTGGCGCTGATCTTCACTAGATCTCGTTACGGTATGGATGGTAAATACGGATGTTTGTGCAGGAACAGTATGTTCATATAACTATCGTACTCGGTCTATAAAAACGGTTTACTACTTATAGAAATCAAAGCAAAATTACAAAGTTGGCACAGAATGTTTGATGTTCAGAAAAATGGCGGTAAGCCAGGTAAACCGTGGCGGATTGCCAACAGTGGGTGCCAAGCTACAATGGTAGACTCGAGACAGGTTTAATTCTAGCTTGTTCACAAATTATTTTAACCTACAAGCATAAAGTCTGTATTTCTTGCAACGGAAAGTGATGGCTAGAACAATATATAAATCAATATTTTTCCTATTTATAACATAGCTGAAAAACGCCAGCAATATGTATATAAACTGAACGGCAGCTAGGTTAGAAAAAGTCTGCGACACTTAGGAATATCTATGGACACACTACACATAGAGTTAGCCGCCATTTTCCTCCGTCAGTGAACACCGGTTCCATGTCGCATTCCGACTGTTGATAGGCCTGACAACCTGGGGGATGTTGGTGATGGCAAATCATTTATTTGTCACACGTTCTAGCGAGAAAAGATAATCTGAAGTCGCAATGAGTTAAATCGGATGTGGGATGAATAGTAATGAAATGAATGTGAGAGCTTATCATTCCGTGTATACTTGATCAAAGGACTATCTCCAATACAGGAGGATAACAGGCAACACCGCCACGTATATACGGGCTCTTAAGATTTACGAAATGCTTGTAGTAATAAACCCGTCGCTTTAAGGACAGGCAGGCACTAATATTTCATTCTTACGTATAATGAGTATATTAGAGTGACGTTTTAAGACAGGGGAGACAATTACACATTTTCCCTTTAAAGCCGTCGCTTTCAGAAATGGTAGAAAAACATATTTCACTATCTAAATATGAGAATATATATTAAATTCGTCACTTAAAGAACGGATAGACAAATATATTTCACCGTTAAATATGAAATTTGCATAAAATTCGTCTCTTAATTAACGGATTGCCAAATATATTCACCTTTAGATATGAAATTTGCATAAATTCATCACTTATAGAACGGGTAGACAGATATATTCCAGCCTTAAATATGAAATTTGCATTTAATTCCTCACATGAAGAAATGCATACAGAATCCTATGGGAATTCTCCATTTCATGTGAATCTTTGGTGTTTTCTTCTGCGAGACTTGGCGAGTATACAATAAATCTCCTAGAAGAACTTCGTAAAATCACATATAGAACAAGATCGCCTTTATCACACATCTCAGAAAAAATACAATATGAAAGGTTTCAAAGTCTAAGTGTGGAGGGCAAATTCAAAAAGACAGTCACTTTGTTGCGCCATTTTCAATCAACATCATTGTCCATATGCTGACATCAGAATCGATTTCTGACTGGCACAGCCAATAGAAAACGCTTCAGGGTATATTACCCAAGTGACATATGTAAACATATATCAGAGTGATTTTACTGGATAACATGCGATTAGAAAACTATATTTCGCACTTAAACATGAATATTTACAACATTTAAGTAGGAGAATCAATATTTTATTCTCCTATAATATGTCTGTACCAAATATACCCGTTGGTTTAGGAGAGAGATAATTATGTATCATTATTTGAATTGGAGCATTTGACATTAAACCCGTCCCATTAAGATGAAATGTGCATCATTCAGAAGACATGAGGTTTGGTTGACCATCCTCTGCTTCATGTACATCGATTGTGTCTACTGGCGAGACACCTTACTATGAAGCGAGCCCCCATCCTTACCCCCCACCCCTGGTTGCTTTTCAGTGATGTAGCGACCAGTTACTACAAGGAGACCCCGCCTCAAAATGATCTTTGCATTTGGCGAGGTGATAAACAGGTAACAAGTTAAGAAAATGAAACGTATTAGAAACAAGAATTCTCTACAGTCTCCTTTAAGATGACACAGATATAATATTTGGAATAGTTTTACTTTACTAACTGTCGCATTCAATTTTGTAACAGGTTTACTTAGAAGTACATATGCTACTTTTCCTCTCATAAAAATGCAATATGAGTGTAATTGACGACAGCTATGTTGGCAGGCCAAATCAGGGGCTTTACAAGTAGACACATGTGTCGCATCTTAAACACGAAGTGACGATCAAATACAACACAAAGCCAAACAATGAAGTTAATCAAACTGGGAGCAGAGATTATGTGAGTGGGATAACAAGGACTAAAACATCGGCAGGATCTGCTAGCGATGACGTTGTGCACCATGGGGGTATAAAACAAACAAGAAAGCTAGAACACCAACAATATCCAGACAGCTTGTAAAAGACTTGGATCGGGTAGAAAGAAACTGGAGGCGTTTGAAATTAACGGCGACGGGCATGTAGGCAGATAGTGATGCAGGATATTGAAGTGTATGGTAGAATACGGATGTAAATTATCGCTCAGTCCAAATAATATTATTTTTTGCTAATTCCATATTCCGTAATGTGAAGATATAATTTCTTTTATATCATATAGTGTGTGTCAATATTATACTTGTGTATTACATTATATAGTGTGTGTCAATATTATACTTGTGTATTACATTATATAGTGTGTGTCAATATTATACTTGTGTATGACATTATATAGTGTGTGTCAATATTATACTTGTGTTTTTATATAGTGTGTGTCAATATTATATTTGTGTATTACATT